GAAGAGTCTTATTGCAACATACATCCTGTGACTCGATCTGCCAACGTAAGATTCAACACAACTTTCAGTTCTCACCTGTCATTTTTGCTTGACTGTAAGCTACAACTGTTTCAAACACATGTTTCTGGTTACAAGATTTTGTCTAAACTCTTTAAAGACTTCATTGCTTCAAAATACGATGTTCTTTGTTTAGATAATGCAGAATATAGACTGCATTATTTGGCATGGTTCACTTTAAATGAAAAACCTAGGAAAGGTATCCTATTCCTGATCTGTAACAGTTTGTCAAACTACCTATGTGACTGCCACTGTGCCAGAGCCTTTTAAAGACATTTTAAGGCATGAGAATCATTCTAGCTTATGTGAACTCAAAAAAGGTGAAAAAAGAAGATTCAAAGCACAAACCGCTGTGGTCTTACATAAGTAAGTGACATAGCTCCCTCTGCTGACTACAGAAAGAAAAGTCAGGTTTTTAAAAGGTAAATGAAAAAGTATGCACTGAAAGGGAAGAGTGTTGCAGAACAAAAATATGAAGAAAAACCAAAGGCTGAGAGCGATATAATTATACTAGGAGAATAGTAGTCCATAGTTTGTAAATACTTAGTTTAATCAACACTGACATAAGCTGACTTACTGTTGACCCACGTTACTCACATTATAAAGTTGATTTATTTAAATCCTTCTCATTTAATTCTCATTAATTCTCATTTAAGATGAGAAGGGAGAGCATTTCTGGTGTGGCACATACAGATCCAGTCTGTAGCTTTTGGCAGTTCAGTAAAATGGCTTTTGGCTCAGTAAAATGAATTGTGATCTCACAGCCATTGCCCTTCCTAGAGGCATTCAGTTTTGGTTGTAACGGTCACTACTTTTTCAAACTTACATTCGGACATAAGCACTTGAACCCTTTTTTGGTGTAAAATATGACATGTCTTTTTTAACATCAGAGACAAGGGCGTCTCTCTCTGGAGACACAGAAAGGTTCAACCTCTGTCTGAGGTAGACTGTATTCAAGTGATAAATCCGTCACTACAGGTGGGAGGAGTAACACAGAGGAGACTTGCATGCGGTAATTCATGTCCAATACACAGTCATTGCAGGCAGTGCACAGATCCGTCCACAAGGAATTCAAGTTAAACAGAAGGGGAGCCCTATGATTAAGTATAGCGTGATTGCACTGAAAATTAGGGTTCATACTCAAAGTCGCCTAGAAGTGATTGATTGACTAGTTAACGAACAGGGACATCAAGCAACTTTAAGAGCTACCAGGAAGTTTGTGCTGCAAGACATGAGCAAATGTGATTTTGAGCTGACAGGTTGAGTTAGCAGAACTGGACACATGGCGAAATGGAGACTATGGAAAAAAACCAGACATCTAAAACATCATTTGGAAGATATTGGAGGAAGGGGACTGAGGTGAAGAAGTAACAAGGAACTCTGGATGGTCATCAACAATCTTTTACCCCACGGTCCAATGGTGGTGTATCACCAAACTGGAGTACTCCTCCTTATCCTCCTTGTATTGCTGCTGCGGGGAGGATGAAACCTGAATGGAAGAAAAAGAAGGTTATGATGATGAATGTAGAGAAGGGGAAAAAAGAGAAGGGGAAAAAAAAAACCAACCTTGCCAATGTTTAAACCAAAGCCACTAGATTCCAATTATTCTTCCCCTTTACACTGCAAGTTGCCTTGGAATCAGTGTGATGCTCTTTCAACACTTCAATTCAACGAGTGCAGCTAACAGAGGGAGCCCAGAGGTCCAGCAGTTTGCACAACATTTTGTGCAGAAGGATGCAGGAACTCTGCTGAGAGCCGTGCATGTGTGCTCAGTGACGGTGGTGACGCACCACCGGTCACAGTCCTGAGCACCCACTGGAGCAACTGCTTCTGATCTTGACCTTGATGGGACTCCTGTAAGAGGATGCAGGTCTCCAGGTATGGGGTTGAATGCGGTGCAGAGGACTGGGGCCTCGCTGAGGCCGTGGGGGGGTGATGGTGCCCTTGCTCACACAGGGTGTGTGCTGTTGGAGGATCTCTGTTGCCAAGTAAAGGAGCAGCAAGAGAATGCCAACAGGCTGCACAGTCTCAGATCCGTCAAGAAAGAGCTTAACTGGATCATGTCCAAATAAGAGCCTGAACACCCAGCTGTCCCAAAGGAGGGGCAGGCAGAGTCTGTGCTTATCAACCTGGGAAATGGAGAGTCCCTCAATGGTGAAGGCTGGGAGCTGGTGACTTCTTGCGCCAGGACAACCACTCCTGCTCCACCTGTAGATCTTCAGCTACAGAGCCGGTTCAGTGTCCGAACAACAGCGGAGGGGCTCAGAGCTGTGTCCAATGAAGCCGGCAAGCCAGCAGAGCCTGAGCCCTGCAGCAGCACTGGGAGGAAGTGTGAGAGTCTCTCTGCCACAAGGACGGGTGCCCCATCTGCTGACCTGGCCTGCTGTAGGGGGGAGTTGCTCCTTGACAAGGGCTTGCACATCGTGGTGCTGCTGGTGCCTGTCCAGCCCCTGGACTAGTACCCTCCACGTTCCTCCTCATGGACACCAAGTGATGCTGTCAGAGAAGCCTGGAGTGTACCACCTTCTGCAAATGCGTGGTAAAATACCTGTATAAGCATCTTCACTGCTGTTTAAATTACTGACTTGCTGGAGAACACAAATGGGCAATATTCCTGTGCATCTGATCTGCCATAACTGAAGCTAAAGTAACATGATTGTACTTTAGTGTAGTGTGTACTAATTATTACAGTAATGCTGTTGGAGCATTGAGGCCAGCCAAGCCAGTGTGCCAGGCAAACAATAAATGACAGGATAGTAGTCACAAAGTGGATTCTGAGGTACCTTTTCTTTTCGTGCAGAAGGTACTGGTATCAAAAGTAGCAGACAGATGCGATTTAGGTCTCTGCTTGAAGTAGCACAACATCAGATTTAAATTGTCCCTTAATTAAGGATGTCCAAAATTATTTTCAAAACTGACATTTGCTTGTTTACATGGCCTAAACCACCTTCCAACTTTAAGAACAGGACACTGAACTTATCTAGATTGGTTATGTAGCTATTTTGCTTCCATACAGTGAAAATTAAGAGAGATGTGTACATCTGTATTATACAGATAACCTATAACAGGTTTGATTTCAGGATACTAGTTCCTAGCTGTCTTGCAATTGATCTACAACAACCTAATTGTCTTATTACTTGCTTTTCTCCTTTCGCCATAGATCACAGATTCTCTTCCATTTTCATTTTTCAAGAAATAATTACACTGCCTGCCATCTTAATGAATAAGCGTTGCTACAGCATCAAAATTAATTCCCTGTCATGGCCTTTGAAAATGCATTACGTTCCACACATAAATATATATTCTGTTTACAACTATCTCTTCCTCTCTTTACCCTTGTTGAGTGCTCCAGAAGGGGATGAGTTGAGCGTTCACCAGAGCTGATAGTACCTCCTGCCTGTGGAGGATGTTCTCGGGCCAAATGATGTCATTTTTCTTTACTTGATTTTTCCCAAAACAAGTACCAGAGGAGGTACTAACAAAAAATAAACCAAACCCAAACCACAAACACACACACACACAAAACCCCAACCAAAAAAACAAAAAAAAACCAAAGAAGGAATCAAAAACCCAGAACAGAATATAATGTGAGGAACTTCATACTAACCTATGAACTAATTTCTGCTCAGAAAACTCTTAGCTCTATTTTATCATGCTCATCAATCACAGAACTAGATTTTTAGCTAAAATCTGAAAACACAGTATGTTGCATTTCACTTTGAAAGAAAATGCAGCTTTTTCCATCCCAAAACTAAAAAGCTATATAGCGATTACACAGCAACCTTAAGCATTGGCAGCTCCAGTGCCATTTCTAGAATGCTGATTCCTTGCTATAGCTTTATTCTGAGCAGGATTTTAGGAATTTGCTTGTATGAACTTGGGTTTGACAACCAAGAAAAAAGCTTTATGGCTTGAGCCTACGGAAAGAACAAGATAAAAGGATTTGGACATGTCCTCATTTTTTTCACATCACCCTGAGTTCAGAAGAGAAGGCCAGAGGCAGTACAGCACAGACACTTAAAAAACAAAAAAACACCCCCAAAAACCCCGCAAGAAAACTCAACCTGAAGTGCTTGATGTCTGGACAGTCAAAGCAGCTACAGAAGAGACATTCAGATTTCATTTTCTTTAAATATAAAAGTACATGGGCAATACCTGAAATTTGAATATTCACGTAGGAATTAGAAGAATAAAAAAAATACTATTTTAGAGTTTCCACTTGAAAAAGAGTAATCGGTAACAGTTTCCAGCTGTTGCACTAGGAAAGGTTAAACACCATACTTAGCTTTCTCTGTGGTCTTTTATCTTTTTATTGGTTCAAACAAAAAGCTTTCTCCTTTACTCTCTCGTGCTGCTGCTTGCTCTGCTCTGTACCTCTCTCATTCCTTTTGAGCAAAGCAGCAGCTTTTTTCATCCTTCTGAAGGTGGCACATAACCAATCCTGGCTGGATCTAATAATGAGCCTTTGGCTGGGCCACAGACCCTCAGGGAACAGCCAACCTGTTAGAACAATTGAGTGTTTTGAATGAATGCATCGGGTCCACTTTGAATCCTGCAAAACCACCTCCAAACCAAGAACAGGAAACGGCAATAAAGCTCAGTCCCATTTGTTATTCCAGTCTGTTAATGCATGAGCTGCTGCAGTAAGGCTTTTATACCACCTGCTTTACAGAGGTCAAACTTTCAGACCTTTGAATTCAGGTGTGAGTTTTGAGTTTTGTTACATTCTTGTTCCAGTAGTTTGATCGCTTTTCAGAGACCAGCTTCCATGATGACAACTTGTGGAAATGCAAGACCCCACAAACCAGAAGTAACAAACTGAAGACATTGTGTTTCCCAGCACCTGAAGTGGCAGTGTCAAAACAGCAGTACAGGCTGACCTTCGACATCACTCTCCAGGCCTGCAGAGTAAACCTATCAGTTTGTTTTGTTTGTTTGTTTTTTCTTCTTTGCTAAGATACGTTTCTTCTCTGCTGTACTTTGTATTTTGGAATTGGTTTTTCCAATGGGCTGGCATAATGACTGATTCATGTAGGTCCACCCAATGAAATCACCTTGTGAAATCTTAGCTAATAGCAACAAAATGCTGTGTCAGACTAAGGTAGCAGCTTTACCACAGTTCCTGCTCATCTGCAGGAGCATTCAGGTTGTTTGAGACAGGAATCACATCATAGCTACTTAAAAATTAATCAAGCAAGTAGGCAGATTAATTGGGCACAGTATTAATATGGTTATTATGATGGCAACTGGGAGGGCAGGTGACAATTCTTGGGCTTAACTCTGCAGGTCTTACATATGTGTGTCACTGAAACTACTGGTAAGTGAGAGTTACTAGACTGCACTGTTAGCGTATTTCTCTGATCATTTGCTAAGAGAAAGTCTCAGGAAGTTAAAACAGGTAGTGATTTGGTTTTCTTTTTTCTGTTAACATAGTATAAAGTGCACGTGCATTTAGTTTACTAAGCACTTGTCTGTTGGGAGCAGAGCAGAACAATTTGTGGAAACATCTGATGGTTTTTACAGATTGAGCCCAGGAGAGCCTGAAAGACTCGGGGACTGTGAGTAAAATGCACTCCAGTGCAGCATGCCAGCACAAAACTTGGATACACTCACAGCTGACCTTAGACCTAACTGCAGACTGAGGAGGTCTTCCAAACCTGGGCCTGAATTCTGCTACTACCAGTGCATCCCCTAACTCTCTTTTCCCCCATGAATATGGACGCCACTGGGTAGAAAACAAATTGTGCGATGATTTGTCTAAAATGACAGCACCACTGAGCCAGAGGCTACCAGCAATAAAGGATGCAGCTAAGTCCAGTGGGTTCCCAGCCACTTTGCTGTTTTGTGGCTCCATCCACAGGAAGGTGGGTGTGTTCAGCAAACTGCTTCCCTCGCTTGGTGAGAGCGATAGCGCTTCCTAGAAGTCAGCCTTTTGCTATGAACAGCAATGACACCTACGAGTACTGCCAGCTGATAGAAGTTGCCCATTTTAAGGCAGAAAGTAACATGACAAGGTGCTTAACACTGAACTAAACAAAAGTGTCCTGATTTGCAGAGCTGACTAGCCTGACAAGATTTTGCAGTGCTCTAGGAGGACTCCATGGCACAAGTCCTGCTGATACAATATAAATGCCAAATTTTAGAATGGTCTATTTTTGGTTTTGTTGTAGTTTTTTTTTTTTTTTCTGTTTAACCGTTAGAATGTGATATAATTTGCCTTACAGAAGGAGAGGGGCTTGATCTACTATTTGTGCAATGAGATGCCATCTCCCCTCCTAACTACTGCTACCCCTTGTGCCATATTTATTAGTGAATGGTTAGTAATTACCAACAGTATGGCTTTTAGGGATGTGAGTAATGTGTGGCTTTTACTCTGCTACTAATGGTGCCAGAATGGCTCCACTTACCAAAATCCATGCACCAGGTGGTGACACCTTCAGATGACCAGTCAATTTACTTGAATTGCTCTAATTGCTGTGACGTATTAAG